AGCATCGGGAAGGTTGTGAACACATGGCGTGAAAAGGCAAGTGAAGTGATGGAAGTGTGGGATAGAATCCATCACGACGCAGATAAGGATACACAACGTCTGGGTCGAAGGTACCCGCTGGCAGTCATTGGGGGTAGATGGGGCAGCGTGGAGGCGGCAGAGGATTACTTGCTGATGAGGGGCAAGTCTGCTGTCGTTGCAGTCATTCTGGAGGTGCTGTCTGGCCACATGAAAGCCCACAGTCAGGACCAGCAAGGTCGATCGTCCGCCATGGCTTTTGTACTTCCGTTTGATGGTTTCACGGAGTTTCACAGTCACGACTTGACGGACTAATGCTTGATGAGTTTTGTTTGTTGATTGCTGTGTGTGCATGTTGCTGCAATTCATGTTGTGAGGACACAAAGTGCCTTAGTATCGTTGCATGGTTGCTTGGCACTCGTTGCAGCATGAAATCGTTAGCATAGCCAAGCCAATGCCAGTGCTAGCACCTTCGGTAGCAACATGCCAGGCAACCCCGATGACGGAGTCCTGGATACGGAATCGGCTGACGACACCCGTGTATATCGCATCAAGCTTTCCAAGTGGTTTCAGGGCACATTCAACGCAATACAACATCCGCTATTCTGGTTCCTGCTGTATGTGTGTCGCTGTATGCGGGGGCCTCTTCGTCACTTCTTTGCGTTTGTGCAGCTTCAGTCGAAGAATTGCAACGCAGCACAGGTGGTTCAGCAGCTAGTCACAGGAAAACTCGATGAATTCCTCAATGAGTACCGCATCTTGTATGATCGCATGAACGACATTGTGCTGAAGGCAATGGAGCTTTCGGGATGTGACTCCCTGTTCAAGGACGACATGGAAGGTCAAGCAGCACTGTCACTGATGGCACGCAAGGTGTGCTATCAACAATGGGCTTCTTTTCAACGACGGATTTGCTATCCCATGCAACAGCAGCTTAATTGCCAAGTAATCCGTGCTACATTCTGCTAGGGTGCCTTGATAGGTTTGTGTGATGTCGCAGTGTCGCATGTCTCACTGTGCCATAGTGCCTTTCGACCGTGTCTTGATGTCATGTTGATTAGAGTCTTGATGTCGTTGCAAGTGCCCTGACAGCGCATGCTACCTGTGGTTGTTCAGATGAGGTATCCTTACAAGCTGTTGTGGTTCGTGAAGGAGAATCCTCTGCGACATTGCACACACCGTCAAGGACGCTGCAACGAGAGTGACAGTGACGATAGGATTGTTGAAAGAAATAGACTAGAAACTAGAAACTCGATTCCAGACCTACAGGAGTGGCAGCAGAGCTCTTGGCGCTCAAGACAGTGGATGCTGCCACAGAGTCCGTGCGTGCCCTGTGCAAGGAGGAATTGAGATATCTTGCAAACAATGGCACGTTTCCAAAGTCTCGTGACTCATCGGGGAGTNNAGTGGCTAGCAGCATGTCTCAGTTCTTTTACGGTGAGACCCAATCCATTGAGGGCCTGAATTCGATCGTGAAATTGCTGGGGAGGCGGGCGCCCAACATTTCACTCGAATTGCTTAGCAGCAGGTTGACCATCAAGCGGCTACTGGGTCAGGCGGATGGGGCAACGGGGTGCCGCAAGGGATTCAAGATGATCAAGAACTTTGCAGAAGCAGAGGTTGCGCAGCTGGCAGAGTACTCGACACCAGCTCTTTCGGTGCTGGCTGACAGCCAGCGCTGGGCAGCAGCAGGCTCTGTGTCGTTCGACCTGCCGCATCTCCCCCCACTCGGGCAGCATCCCGTTGCAGAGCCTGCGCCTGCGCGTCAACACGCGCTGCAAGAGTCACAGTTCTTGTCATTGTCT